CCGGCTTTTTTCTTTTTGCTTATGTGGTGCTGAGGAATCGAACCCAGGGCCTCAGGCATGCAAGGCAAGCGCTCTACCACTGAGCCACCTTCCCAGCCTGTCACTGAGAGCTTTTTATATTATGGGGACAGGATGCCAGGGATTTCTAATTAATGCTGCCCCTTGAACTTTGCATCCAGGGCTATGAGAAGAGCTAGAGAGCTTTAAGGCTGCTATCGGTGTGAAACAGTGAAGGTAGAAGGCAAAGGCAGGTTTCATGGGCCACAGTGGTAAACGTTCCTTGAGCAGTAGTTGTGCATGGTTATGAGCTCAGTTCCAGGCCAATCTGTGTAAGAAGCAACCCCCACCCTAGTCATAGTCACACCACCAGGGGGCCATACAGCCAGAAGCCCTTGCTTATCTACCTTCTCCCACTGGTGCTTTTCTTCCAGCTGCATGAACATATCCAAAATGTAAGTCATATGGGCAGGGCCACTTAGTTCCAGGATATCCTCGCTCACTGGCACATTCCTGGGCCACTCAGCAAGAAGGGAGGCCAGCACATGGCGAGCATACAGGACAGCTGTGGCCTCATTCACACGAAAGAGGTAGTCGCGGACAGCCCTCTTACTCTTGCAGTTCAACTCTTTGTGGAGGAGGGCAGCACTTTTGCTCCGGCGCTGCTTGGCATAGCTCTGCTGAAGCTCACTCTCTGTGCTGGAGATTAGCTTCTGGGTCACAGGATTCAATTCAGCAGTGGCATGATCACAGCATGTGGGCCGGGACTGCAAAGTCAAGACCAGCATTACAGAGGCCTACCTTTCTTGCAATGTGGGAGTGGATGCAGACACTTTGTTCCCAAGGTGGGTGACATACCAAGCATGGCAAGATGATCATGTCTGTGTCCACAGCTTTGGCGCTCTGCTCTTCCAGTCTCAGACTCTTACTGGGCTGCCACCTTTGCGCCAGAGAGCGGATCCTCTCATCTGTGGTGAGCTCATCTCCATCAAACCTGGAGGGAGGGAGCACAGTGGTGGGCACACAAAGTGGAACAAGTTTAAGCTGCAGACTTTTCAGAAATGTTAGCAGAGCTGTTTTCCTGTTATTACCCAGTGACACCATCACTCACTGTATTTTGAAAAATAGAGCATCCATTGTGTGCAGATAGCAGGTATACCTTTGTGGCAAAGGATGTCCAATCTCCCTTTCTCTCTTAGGAGACACCATTGCCTAGCAAGAGACACAGTCCCTAGCCTCCTGGTAACTTGACATGTGAGGCAGTAGGTTCTGGGTAACAAGAGATGAGGGAGGCTGTGTCCTACTTCCAGAACCTGCCCTCAAGCAAGTGTAGGAACAATGTGGTCTCCCTCCCACCCTTGCTTCCTCTGGCCTGGAACCCACAGGAGACGAGGGTGAGCTATGACTACACAGGTAAGAACACTGCACTTATTATCAGTTAATGGGTCACTCTATGGAGCAGAGCCGTTCATGTTCTTGTGGACTGTGGCCTGCCTGTGGGCTGCTATGTGAGAGAACAACAGATCGCATCTGCCTTGGTCCATGGTATTTCTGGGTCTCAATGTCCCTTACCTCTTCTGAACCTCCAAGAAGAAAGAGTCGGTCTTTTTCATCTGCAGTTCATATATGGCCCGGAGGATGTGCAGAGGGGCATTGAGGGCATCATGAGCCATCTGAAGGCATGGGAGGAAGCAAAGGAGAAACAACTAGAAATGCCTCAATGTATTATTTATCATCTGAACTCAAAAGTGACCAAATAGTTTCAAGTTGCCACAGATAGTACATCAGGTAGGTATTCTGAAAAAGCTTATCAAATGAAAAGCACGAAGGCACGAAGTTACTGGTAAAAGTTGTAGTACTACAACTTTAAAGGAGACTATAAAACACTGAAATACCAAAGGAAATTCTGTGCCAACAAAACACAACTGTTGGGCTGGGAAGGTGGCTCAGTGGTACAGTGCTTGCCTTGCATGCAAGAGGCCCTGGATTCAATTCCTCAGCACCACATAAGCAGAAAAAGCCAGAAGTGGTGCTATGGGTCAAGTGGCAGGGCACTAGCCTTGAGCTGAAGAACTCAGGGACAGTTCCCAGGCCCAGAGTTCAGGCCCCACAACTGACAAAAAACAAAACAAAAAAAACAAAAAAACCCACAACTGTCACTGCACTGTACTCCATTAGCTTCTCTGCTGCATTTCATACCCAAGCTTGACAACTGGCACACAAATTTAAACGCTGTCCTTTCTTCTGAGTTTTTTGCTTTAGTTATTTTTCAGATATGGTCTTGTATTTTTGCCTGGGACCAGCCTCAGATCCTCAATCTTGGTCTCCCTCACAGCTGGGATTACAGATGTACCCCATCAATCCAAGCTTATTTGTCGAGATGCAGTCTCCATAACTTTTGCCTTGGTTGACATTGAATTGTGATCCTCCTGATCTCTGCCTCCAGTAGCTACGATTATAAGTAGGAGTCACTCTTTCTGGCCTTTTTTTTTTTTTAATTTTAAAAAATGCTTCTTGTGCGCTGGGAAGGTGGCTCAGTGGTAGAGCACTTGCCTTGCATGCATGAGGCCCTGGGTTGGATTCCTCAGCACCACATAAGCAAAAAGAAAAAAAGCCGGAAGTGGGGAAGTGGCGCTGTGGCTCAAGTGGTAGAGTGCTAGCCTTGAGCTGAAGAGGTGAGGGACAGCACCTAGGCCCAGAGTTCAGGTCCCACGACCAGACCCCCCCCCCAAAAAAAATGCTACTTGTTTTTCTTAATCTATACCCTACTTTTCATGCAGCTAGATCCTTTAAAGTCCAGGCACTGTCCATTTTACATCATTCCAAATGACAGTAGCTAATCCAGGAAGGCAAGAGAATATTTCCAAGAAACCAAGGTAAGATTGTTATTTGGGGATTTCTGGAGGCATCTTAAGAAGGTTTTAGTAAACCCTGGAAATTACATGCAGAATTTTATGTGACCATTTAAATGTGTACTGTGTGGGAGTGAGTATTGAAAGCTTTTGGGTACACCACTCGAAAATGTGATGGAGCTTTTCTGTTCTTCTGGATCTATTCTGCACATAACAGACTGCATCTTCAACAGGCGAGTCCTCAGAACATCATACTGAAAGAAGCATTCTGTCGCTAAGGTGCAGTATGGCCTAAGCCACTCCTTTGAAGCCTTGCCAACATACCAAGAAACATATTCTGGTGGGCTCATCCAGGCCTTCCAGAGGGTCTAGCTTTTTTTGCTCTGGTTCTCCAGGACTGCTGATTGGCCTGTCCACCTCTTCCTCTTGGTCTCCTCGCTCATCCAGCTCGAGGTCTCTGTGATCAGCCAGAGCGTTGATTTCCTTTTTTGAAGAGTACAGCATGATAGACAGAATCTACAGAGGGAGGCAATCAGGCAGGGCAGAGAGGTGAGCATTCAGTGAGTGAATAGAAGATATAGATCTTTAACCATCTAAGAGTAAAAAATATTTTTTGCCTACTTTTAAAGACATCAGAATTCACAGAAAGAACATAAAATGAATAGATATAGGAAAATATATTCAATTGTGCTTGTAATAGAAACAATGATAAAAAAACTACAGAGGCTCTGGAACTTATTAACTTTCTGACAATTTAAACTGATTATCATCCTTTTCAAACTCATTTTGGCAAAATTTTGAAGAAGAATATACTAAATAGTTTTATTCCAAGACATGGTCAATGAAGCATTTACATCAAAAGACATCAGTGTACCATTTTGAATCAGATGCAAAAAAAAATGGTGCATATTTGTATCAGAAGTAAAAAGGTTATGATAACTACTGAAAGTGCCTAACATATAACCTTGATTGACTATTTGAATGATATGCTCAATTATGTACTATAAATGTATTACAGAGAAAATTAGAAGGAAATAACTAAGATGCCAATAGTTGCTGTGTCTGTAGGTAAAATTTGAGATGTCTTAATTTTCTATTTTTTATATTTTCTGCAATGTGGTTCTATTATTTACATAATAAAAATAAGATGGTCTGTGTGTGTGTGTGTGTGATATTCAGGTTTGAACCTAAGGCCTCAAGCTTTCTATCACTTGAGTTATGTCCCCAATTTGAAACACTCTTAATTTAAAATATTCTCGCCGGGCACTGGTGGCTCATGCCTGTAATCCTAGCTACTCAGGAGGCTGAGATCTGAGGATCGCGGTTCAAAGCCAGCCCGGGCAGGAGGGACTGTGAGACTCCTATCTCCAATAAACCACCAGAAAACCGGAAGTGGCGCTGTAGCTCAAGTGGTAGAGCGCTCGCCTTGAGCTGAAGAGCTGAGGGA